AGTAGGGTTAAAGAGAATCCCAAGACATTCTACAGTTACATTAAAAACAAAAGGATAACTAGGGAGTAGGTAGGACAATTCAAGGATAAAGGAGAGAACTTTTGCTTGGAGACAGAGGATGTGGGTGATATCCTAAATAAGTACTTCACACCGGTATTCACCGAGGAGAAGGATATGGACGATAGTGAGATTTGTGTGGAGCATGCTAATATGCTGGGGCATTTTGAGATTAAGAAAGAAGTGCTGTTGGACCTCTTGAAGAGCATTAAGGTGAATAAGTCCCCAGGGCCCAATATTATCTACGCCAAGTTACTGAGAGGGGTAAGAGAGGAGATTGCTGGGTCCTTGACTAAGATCTTTGTATCCTCACTAGCCACTGGAGAGGTCCCAGAGGACTGGGGAGTAGCTAATGTTGTTCCTCTGTTCAAGAAGGGAAATAAGGACGACTCAGGAAACTACAGACCAGTGACCCTTACGTCGGTGGTTGGGAAGCTATTGGAGAGAATTCTTAGGGATGGTATTTATAGACATTTGGAAAAGCATGATCTAATTAGAGACAGTCAGCAAGGCTTTGTGCAGGGCAGGTCATGTCTTACTAACTTGATTGAATTTTTGGAGGAGGTGACAAAGGTGATCTATGAGCATGGAGCAGTGGATGTTGTTTACACGGATTTTATTAAGGCTTCCAACGAGGTCCCTCATGGTAGGTTGATCCAGAAGATTAAGATGCATGGGATCCACAGTGACTTGGCCATGTGGATTCAGAATTGGCTTGCCCACAGAAGGCAGAGGATATTACTGGAAGGGTGTTTTCAGGCTGGAGGCCCGTGACTAGTGGTAGTGCACAGGGATCCATACTAGGTCCTCTGCTGTTTGTGATATATATAAATGACTTTGATGAAAATGTAAATGGGTGGGTTAGTAAGTTTGCAGATGATACAAAGATCAGTGGATTTGTGGATAGTGTAGAAGGCTGTCAAAGGATACAGCGTGATATTGGTCAGTTGCAGATATGGGCGGAGAAATAGCAGATGGATTTTAATCCGGGTGAGTGTGAGATGCTGCACTTTGGGAGATCAAATGTTAAGGAAAAGTATACAGTTAATGGCAGGACTCTGAACAGCATTGATGTACAGCAGGATCTTAGGGTTCAAGTCCATAGCTCCGAGAAAGTGGCCATGCAAGTGGATAGGGTGGTAAAGAAAGCGTATGACAAGCTTGCTGCTATTGGTCAGGGAATTGAGTACAAAAGTCAGGGTGTCATATTGCGGCTTTATGAGACTTTGGTTAGGCCACATTTAGATTATTGCGTTCAATTCTGGTGGCCACATTATAGCAAGGATGTGGAGGTTTTGGAGAAGGTACAGAAGAGGTTTACCAGAATGATGCTTAGATTAGAGTATATGAGCTGTAAGGAGAGGCCAGAAAAACTTGGGTTGTTTTCTCTGGAGCATTGGAAGCTGAGGGGAGACTTGATAGAACTCTATAACATTATGGGATGCAGATAGGGTTGACGGTCAGAATCTTTCTCCCAGATGTGAAATGTCTAAAAGTAAGGGGTCTGCGCTTAAGGTGAAAGGAGGCAAGTTCAAAGGAGATGTGAGGGGCAAGTTTTTTACACAGACAGTGGTAAGAGTCTGGAACGTACTGCCAGGGGTGGTGGTGGAGGCAGAAACAAACGGGATATTTAAGGGACTTTTAGATAAGCATATGAATATGCGAGGAATGGAAAGATATGCACCAATGGCAGGCAGGAGGGATTAGTTTCATTTGGCTTCGAGTTTGGTACGACGTTGTGGACCAAAGGGCCCATTCCTGTGCTGTACTGTTCTATGCTCTGTGTTCTATGGGCTGAAGGGTCTTTTACCATGTTTTAAAAACTTTATGACATAGAACTGTGTATGTGTAAGTACATGTGTGAATGAACACATTTACACACACATCTATTGACCCATGTGCATTAACACCCACACTGATAAATTGACCTGCGACTATGCACAACACATATACACACCTGACAACAAGCACATGCAAGCAGTAAAACAGGTGTGTTCTCAGGCATTAAAATACACAAACTCATATAATGGCAGAAATAAAGGAATACTGAGAATATAGGAATGTGAATGAGCCATTCCAGCAGAACCACTGAAATAACTCCACAAAGGCCAGTATCCCATCAGCAAGTCACTCTATATTTATAATGAAGAGTCCTTGACACTGATCTGGCTCTCTCAGAGCCAGCTCTCAGAATGAACAGGATGGCTGACACTCCTGACAGGGCTCCCTGTTTGGACCAGGCTAACAGCCCCAATCAGGGAACTCATATTCTATGAGGTCCACCTGGCTGACCTTGTGACAATCACTACATCCCTCCCCCTCTTAGTCCAAGGAGATAGGCCAGTTCATTTTTTTGTAGCTCCTCCTGGGGTGTTTTAGCACCGGATCAGGTTCCTCCAACTCTGTCTCAAATACGAGTAGTGTGTAGCACACAGTAGCTCGCCTCTAGCGTCCAGAGCGTCTTGAAAGAAATTCATTCTCCTCTTCAGGTGGCAAAGGCATCAAAGCAGTGACATCCGCCATATCCATCTCAGATTCCGAGATCTCTTTAATGCTTGACAGACAGCTTCTGCAACAGTTGGAAAGGCTTTTGAGGAGCATAGAGTTAATTTGTCAAACATGGGAACGACGATAGAAAAACTGCACACATATTTAACAATACACAGACTCCCATCGGTCACAGATGACAGGTTATCATTTGACAGCAGGGAATTTGAGTATTTCCTAAAGTTGAACGGTACTTGACATCTAAAGACAGTTCCATACCATCCATCATTCAATGGGGAGAAGACTCTGCACTATGTTAAATCTGATCTACCCGGACCTGGGGGCAAACAGTGAAATGGCATCTGGAATACCAATACCAGACAGAAGACTCTGCTAAGCGAGAGAGACCATTTATTTCAGGGACAAAGTTTGGTGTAGGAACCACTGGAATGGCACTGTAAGGGTAAGAGACATGATCGACACATGGTCTGGACCAGTGACATATAAAGTTCAGGTGGGTGCAATGGTCCTGAACAAGCACATGGACCATCTGAAAGCTATAAACTCGCAAATGGTGTGGGAACAAAATGCGCCCGGTTCCGCAAAAGCCTTTCTGACTGTTCTGGAATCCACGGGTTCTCCCTCTCTGTCAAACATTGAAGATATCTCAGAATCTGAGATGGATATGGTGGATGTCCCACCTCAATGCATTTGCTGCCTGAAGAGGAGAATGAATTTCTTCTGAGACACTCCGGGCGCAAGAGGTGAGCTACACTGCGTTACACGCTGCCCATATCAGAGGCAGAGTTGGAGGAACCTGACCCGGTGCTAAAACACTCCAGGAGGAGCTACAAAAAAAAGAACTGGCTTATGTCCTAGGTCTCAGAGGGGGAAGGATGTAATGACGGTAATGAGGTCAGCCAGGTGGACTTAGTAGAACATGACTTCCCTGATTGGGGTTGTTAATCTGGTCCAATCAGGGAGCCCTGGCTGACAGATATAATCAGGAGTGTCAGAGGCTCTGTTCACTCCAAAAGCTGGCTCTGAGGAAGCTGGATCAGTGTCAAGGACTTTCCATGTGCAAATAAAGATTGATTTGGTGATGGAATACCGGCCTCTGTGGAGTTATTTCAAAAGCAAATGGTATGTTAGCCTTCATAGTGAGAGGATTTGAGTACACGAACAGGGATGTCTTATTACAGTTTTAGAGGGCCTTGGTAGGACCACCGCTGGAGTATTGTCTTAGTTTTGGATCTCTTTATCTGAAGAAGGATGTCCTGGCTATGGAGGCAGTGTAGTGAAAGTTTACAAGACTGATTCCTGGGATGGCAGGACTGACTGTATGAGGAGAAGTTAAATTGGTTGGAATTATATTCACTGCAGCTCAGAAGAATGATGGAGGATCTCATAGAAAGCTTAAAAAAATCTTAACAAGACTAGACAGGGTGGATGCAGGAAGGATGTTCCTGTTGGCAGGGCAGTTCAGAATCAGGAATATGGGGTAAACCATTTAGGATTGTGATTAGAAGAAATTTCTTCACCAGAGAGTGGTACAAATTCTCTACCACAGAAAGCAGTCAAGGCCAGAAATGTACATCATTTCAAAGAGTTGGGATAAAGCGTTTAGGACCAAAGGGATCAAAGAATTTGGGGTCCATTGTTCACTTTGTTAACTATTTTCCTTGTTGATTATTATAAATACTTCTATCTTTATTTATAGTTCCAGTTAGCTTTCTCTCACATTTTAATTTTTCCCTCCTTATGAATCTGTTAGTCATTCTTTGCTGTTTCTGTTCAATCTTCTGACCTGCCACATGTCTTTACACAATTATGCGCCTTTTCTTAAATTTTCTGTATTTGAGTAATGAGGTACTCAAACAGATCCCCAAGTGTGTTCAAACCTCCCACTATTACTATTGTTAACTTTGTAAATGAATCACAGATGGTCTGTCGTCATCTTTGAATTTTTCTTTCTCAATTTGGCAGAAGTCTGGAATCAGTGAAGATAAGGATCAGAAAGAAATTGAAAAAGATTATCAATTTTGACACAGCTGGCTAAAGACGGTTGGCAAAGTTTCAGCCTCGTCTTTTAAGAATGTAAGAAATTCAACTTTTGAGAGAGAAGCCTCTCAAAACTCTGCCTCATCTCAGATGTGAGGATGGAAATACTGGAGAAGAAATAACTCCTGTGGGTTGTTGCAGTTCTGGAAAGGGTGAGTGACAAAGGAAGAAAGAACTTGCATCTGTACCACACCCTTCACATCTCCAGACTTTTCATAATTATTTTTCAGCGAATTAAATACTTAGCATCTGTTGTAACATAGGAATAAACACAGGCAATTGCACACGACAAGCCCCAACAAACAGCAATGTGATAGTGGCCAGCTGATCTCTTTTAATGATTTATTTGAGGGATAAATATTAGCTAAGATACTGGGATGGACTCCCCTACTCACCTTCAAAACGATGGCCATGAGATTTTTTTACATCCACTTCGAGGGCAGCCAGGGACCCAGTTTAACATCTCTTCTGAGAAGAGTCTTTGGTTCAGTGTAGCTTCGTTGTGGACTTGAACCCACACCATCCGAATCAGAGGTGAGAATATGGCACACTGAGTCACAGATAACTTCAAAAAAGGAGGTAAGGTTAGAGAGTGTCAGTTCATTACTTTGACTTGTGAAAATTAGTTATCAACTTTTTTGAAGTAAGTGTAATTTACAGGAAAAGCCCCTAATTAATCTTAAACAGAAACTCACTTCAACCAATACTACACAGACTAATATTAGATGTGGCTGGATATTTGCAGATGATGCAACTATTTATGAAACGCTTGCAAGTTGCAGGGTGAGTCATCTATAGGAAACCTTCTCCATTACTCTCTCGTTTGAAACAGAACACAACAAAGTTTGTAGTAATGGGAGGAGATTCAACTCTGTCCATTTGGATTCTTCAGTTCTGTAACTGATTGAGAAGGTACCAATTGATGTGGCAGATGTATCATATTTCCTAGATACAGAAACACGTCAGTTAGAGCATTTTTCAAACCAGTAGATTTTCCTCCAACTGCTGTGTTTAACACAATCCACCGTAGTGCTGCTATTTCAACTTAAGGCACTGTACAGATTGTAACGGATATATGCAAACATACAATTGGAGCAGAAGTGAGCCATTCAGCCCCTCGAGCCTTCTGTACCATTCAGTGGAGTTCTGACTGCACCCTCAGCTCCACATTCCTGTCCAACCTCATACTCTTTTACCCCCGTGCTCATCAAGAATCTATTCACCTCGTCCTTCAACATTTTCAAAAACTCTACTTCCACCAGCTTTGGGAAAATGTTTTTCCCCATCTCGGTCTTAAGTAGTCAACACTTTATTCTTAAACAGTAGTCCTTTGTTCCTGAATCTCTGACAAGAGGAAACAGCCTCTCCATGTACACATGTGGAAAGACCCCTCAGGATCTTATACATTTCAATCAAGTCACCTCTTACCTTCCTAAACTTTAGCATGTACAAACCTAACCTGTACAACCTTTCCTCATTAGACAATCCTCTCATTTTTGATATCAGTCTGGTAAACCTTGTCTAAACAGCTTCCTGAATGCTGAATCATATTGTAAAAGGCTCGGAAACCTGCAGAAAGTAACTCACCTCCTGATTCCCCAAAGCCTGTCAACCATCTAAAAGGCACAAGTCATCAGTGTGATGGAATACTCCCCAATTGCCTGCTTGAGTGCAGCTCCAACAACATTCAAGACATTTGACACCATCCAGGAAAAGGGTATCTGGTTTGATTGGCACCACATTCACAAACATCCATTCCCTCCACCACCAATGATCAGTAGCAGTAGTGTGTACTATCTACTGCAGAAATTCACCAAAGTTCCTTAGACAGCACCTTCCAAACCCACAACCACTTCCATCTCAAACACCAAGCATATCAGATATATGGGAAAACCATCATCTGCAAATTCCCTTCCAAGCCACTCACCATCCTGACTTGGAAATATATCGCCATTGCATCACTGTCACTGGGTCAAAATCCGTGAACTCCCTCCCTAATGGCATTGGGGGCTACCTACAGTTCATAGACTGCAGTATTTCAAGAAGGCAGCTCAATACCAAGGCTAAATAGGCACGGGCAATAAACATTGACACAGCCAGCTACACCCATGTCCCATGAATGAATAAAAAGTGCCTGTATCCAATGTGTTACTTTAAACTTGACCATATCAACATTTTCCTGGTTGGCTGCTCACTTGTAGAATTAATTACCTGATTGGATAATTCTTGACTGTCAGTGTCAGACATTCGCTAGAATCTAATGCTGCTACCAGCTGCTTCAGTAAACAAAGTGAGAGGCCATCCTTATTGATGAATCTGCTAATTCTTCCAACAGGCTTGAGGTAGGAGCAATTCCTGGCCAGCTGTACTCGATGTGGAGCGGTGAGCCTTGAGCAATAAGAGAGACTGGATTGGTTAGGACTATATTCACTGAGTTTAGAAGAATAGTGGAGGTAAAAATTTCATAGAAACCTGAACAGAGTGAACACTGAAAGAATGTTCCAAATATTATGGAGTCCAGCACCAGGGGTCACATTTTAAGGATGCAGGTTAGGCTGTTTCAAGCTAAGGTGAAATGAGATTTCTTCGTCCAGAGAGTAGTGAGCCTTTGGAATTCTTTGCCACAGAGAAGGAGTTTTTGAGAAGGGGTTTGATATAGTTCTTGAGGCAAAAGTGATCAAAGACTATAGGGAGAAAGCTAGTACAGGGGATTGAGTTGGGTGTCAGTCATGATCATACTGAATGGCAGAGCAGGTTCAAATGGCCAAATGACCTACTTCTGCTCCCATATTTAACTTTCCATGTTTCTATAACCACTTGACTCTTACTTTCTCTAACAGAGAGATGTTTATGGTCCCTTACAAACTATGGCTAATTGCAGACAGGTGGCCTACCCCTGCTTTAATCAAGTTGTTAGTTAGATCCCAGAGACTGGAGGATAATCCGAGAAGGTTTGTAATTCTAGTTCAGTGCTGGGAAATGTGTTTGAGGAAATCATCCCAAAAATCCGGACCAGCACTGCTTCTGGATTGCTGGCTCTATCTTGGAGATCTTTAGATTCTCGGAGATGTTTACCATTCTATTACTGTGTCTCTCCAAAAGGACAGAACACTCTGGAAATGGGGGAGGGGAAGGGGGTTCTGAAATAAATAGGGAGAGAGGGGGAGATAGAAGATGGATAGAGGAGAAGATAGGTGGAGAGGAGACAGACAGGTCAAAGAGGCGGGGATGGAGCCAGTAAAGGTGAGTATAGGTGGGGAGGTAGGGAGGGGATAGGTCAGTCCAGGGAGGACGGACAGGTCAAGGAGGCGGGATGAGGTTAGTAGGTAGGAGATGGGGGTGGGGCTTGAGGTGGGAGGAGGGGATAGGTGGGAGGAAGAACAGGTTAGGGAGGCGGGGACAAGCTGGGCTGGTTTTGGGATGCAGTAGGGAGAGGGGAGATTTTGAAGCTTGTTTAGTCCACATTGATACCATTGGGCTGCAGGGTTCCCAAGCGGAATATGAGTTGCTGTTCCTGCAACCTTCGGGCAGCATCGTTGTGGCACTGCAGGAGGCCCAGGATGGACATGTCATCTGAGGAATGGGAGGGGGAGTTGAAATGGTTCACGATTGGGAGGTGCAGTTGTTTATTGCGAACCGTTCTGCAAAGCGGTCCCCAAGCCTCCGCTTGGTTTCCCCGATGTAGAGGAGGCCACAACGGGAACAGCGGATGCAATATACCACATTAGCAGATGTGCAGGTGAACATCTGCTTGATGTGGAAAGTCTTCTTGGGGCCTGGGATGGGGGTGAGGGGGGAGGCGTAGGGGCAGGTGGAGCTCTTCCTGCTGTTGCAGGGAAAATTGCCGGGTGAGGTGGGGCTGGAGGGGAGTGTGGAGCGGACAAGGGAGTCACGGAGAGAGTGGTCCCTCCGGAAAGCAGATAAGGGTGGGGAGGGAAAAATGTCTTTGGTGGTGGGGTCGGATTGTAGATGGCGGAAGTGTCGGAGGATGATGCGTTGGATCCGGAGGTTGGTGGGGTGGTACGTGAGGACGAGGGGGATTCTGTTTTGGTTGTTATTGCAGGGAGGGGGTGTGAGGGATGAGTTGCAGGAAATGCGGGAGACACGGTCAAGGGCGTTCTCGACCACTGAGTGGGGGAAGTTGCGGTCCTTGAAAAACGAGGACATCTGAGATGTACGGGAGTGGAATGCCTCAACCTGGGAGCAGATGCGGCGGAGGCGAAGGAATTGGGAATAGGGGATGGCATTTTTGCAGGAAGGTGGGTGGGAGGAGGTGTATTCTAGGTAGCTGTGGGAGTCGGTGGGCTTGAAATGGATATCGGTTTCTAGGTGGTTACCGGAGATGGAGACAGAGAGGTCCAGGAAGGAGAGAAAGGTATTAGAGATGGTCCAGGTGAACTTAAGGTTGGGGTGGAAGGTGTTGGTGAAGTGGATGAACTGTTCGAGCTCCTCATGGGAGCACGAGGCGGCGCCGATACAGTCATCAATGTAATGGAGGAAGAGGTGGGGTTTAGGGCCAGTGTAGGTACGGAAGAGGGATTGTTCCACGTAACCTACAAAGAGGCAGGCATAGCCTGGGCCCATTCGGGTACCCATGGCTACCCCCTTTGTCTGTAGGAAGTGGGAGGAATTGAAAGAGAAGTTGTTGAGGGTGAGGACGAGTTTGGCTAAGCGGATGAGGGTATCAGTGGAGGGGGACTGGTCAGGCCTGCGGGACAGGAAGAAGCGGAGGGCCTTTAGGCCATCTGCATGGGGAATGCAGGTGTATAGGGACTGAACGTCCATGGTAAAGATGAGGCGTTGGGGACCGGGGAATTGGAAGTTCTGGAGGAGGTGGACGGTGTGGGTGGTGTCACGGATGTAGGTAGGGAGTTCCTGGACCAAGGGGGAGAAAATGGAGTCCAGATAGGTGGAGATAAGTTCGGTGGGGCAGGAGCAGGCGGAGACAATGGGTCGACCAGGGCAGTCAGGTTTGTGGATTTTGGAAAGGAGATAGAAGCGGGCGGTGTGGGGTTGGGGAATGATGAGGTTGGAGGCTGTGGGTGGGAGGTCACCTGAAGTGATTAGGTTGTGGATGGTTTGGGAGATGATGGTTTGGTGGTCGGGGGTGGGGTCATGATCAAGGGGGCGGTAGGAGGAGGTGTCAGAGAGTTGACGCCTGGCCTCAGCGATGTAGAGATCAGTGCGCCATACTACAACTGCGCCTCCCTTGTCCGCGGGTTTTATGGTGAAGTTGGGATTGGAGCAGAGGGAGTGGAGGGCTACACATTCTGCGGGGGAGAGGTTGGAGTGGGTGAGAGGGGTGGAGAAGTTGAGGTGATTGATGTCACGATGGCAGTTGGAGATGAAGAGGTTGAGGGAGGGTAGGAGGCCTTGAGGTGGTGTCCAGGAGGAGGGGGTGTGTTGGAAGCGGGAGAAGGTGTCAGTAGAGGGAGGGTTAGGCTCACGGTTGAAGAAGTAAGCGTGGAGGCAGAGGCGGTGGAAAAACTGCTCTATGTCCAAACATGACCGGTATTCGTTGATGTGTGGGTGGAGGGGGACAAAGGTGAGCCCTTTACTGAGGACTGTCCGTTCGTCCTCAGTAAGGGGGAGGTCTGGGGGGATGGTGAAGACTCGGCAGGGCTGGGTGTTGCTGTCTCCTCTGGAGCTGCTGGCTGTGGAGGCGGTGGGCGGAGTTACGTCGGCTGTGGGCGGGTTTGCATTGGCGTAGGCTGTGGGCGGAGTTATGTCGGCTGTGGGCGGGCTTGCGTCGGCGGTGGTGGGTGAAGTTGCGTCGGCGGTGGTGGGCGAAGTTGCGTCGGCATTGGCAGTGGGCGGAGATGCATCAGTGTCGGTGGTGGGCGGAGTGCTGTCGGCGGTGGGCAGAGCGGGGTAGGAGGCGGCAGCAGCGGTGACGGTAGGTGCGTCCTCAGTGTCTATGGTGTTGGCCTCGGAAATGGAGGCGGTGGCATCAGCAGCGATGTCGATGGCATTCGCTGTCCGGGAAGTGGTGTACCCAGTGGCAGAGGATGTGACGTCATCTCCCTTCCCTCTACCGCTTCCCAAAACCAGCCGAGCTCATCCCTGCCTCCCTAACCTGTCCTTCCTCCCACCTATTCCCTCCTCCCACCTCAAGCCCCACCCCCATCTCCTACCTACTAACCTCATCCTGCCCCCTTGACCTGTCCGTCCTCCCTGGACTGACCTATCTCCTCCCTACCTCCCCACCTACTGGCTCTATCCCCGCCTCTTTGACCTGTCTGTCTCCTCTCCACCTATCTTCTCAATTCATCGTCTATCTGCCTCCCCCTGTCTCCCTATTTATTTCAGAACCCCCTTCCCCTCCCCCATTTCTGAAGAAGGGTCTAGGCCCGAAACGTCAGCTTTCCTGCTCTTCTGATGCTGCTTGGCCTGCTGTGTTCATCCAGCTCTACACCTTGTTATCTCAGATTCTCCAGCATCTGCAGTTCCTACTATCTCCAGAACACTCTGGAATACAGCTGAAGCAGGAAACTTCTCCAGGGTTGCACGGTGGCTCAGAGGTTAGCACAGCTGTCGCACCGCAGCAGTGACCCGGGTTCTATTCCAGCCTTTGGTGACTGTCTCTGTGGAGTTGCACATTCTCCCGTATCACCATGGGTTTCTGCCAGAATAGGTGGATTGGCAAAAACTGCCCATAGTGTCCAGGGGTGAATAGGATACATGGGTTAGCCATGGGAAATGTGGGATTATGGAGATTGGGTGAGGAATTCGTTGTGGTGCGATGCTCATTGCGGGGTCCGTGGAGACTCAGGTTCCGGGGGGGGGGTGCGGGGGAACAGTCGCTTTCTGCAATGTAGGGATTCTAAAATGTGGCATTAACCTCAGATGCTCACTGCTCCTGAGGTGACCGGGAAATGTGCCTCCCTTCATTCCACACATCCTCCCATTCTGTGTGAGGGAGAGCCAGTCACTCAGTGACAGCAAACCACTACTCCCCCTCCAACACTGCAACTGAGAACCAGGGCCAGCTGAAGAAGGGTCTAGGCCCGAAACATCAGCCTTCCTGCTCCTCTGATGCTGCCTGGCCTGCTGTGTTCATCCAGCTCTACACCTCGGTATCCCAGCTGGAATACCAACAAGATTCAATTTTTAACAGGAGGGCAGAAGCAAATTACAGAGTCAACAACTGAGGGCATGTTTGGAATCAAGTGTGTTGGAAATCTGGAATGTCGGAAATTGAGGGTTTGAGGAGTCAAGGGGAAAATCAAATGCATCGGAAATTGAAAGGCTGTTGACATTCGATGGGGGTTTAACAGAAACAAAGAG